CTACTAGTAACAAGGGCAATACTACTAGTAGCAAGAAGCTACTAGTAGCTCCTGGCAATACTACTAGTTCCAAGCATGGCTTATGCAGCCCTGGGCCCACTTTTGCGCCCAGATGGCTATCAGTATGTCAGGGTTCATCTAAAGTGTACAAAGTTTGCACCCCCTGGGCAGATGCGGTCTCTTTCGACCAAAGCTGCCTCTTCGAGGGAAAAGCACTTAGGTAGCGGAGCTTGGATCCTGGGCCTTCTTAAGTCAGGCCTTTGTGTCCTTGGCGTCCGCTCCTCTCGAACCCCAAGCGTTGAAGGTGCGCTTGGATCACTGCTCTCGGCTGGACTTTCGTCACCAAATCTGCATCGTTCATCTTGCCAGCCACTTTGATCACCTCCAGCTCTTTGTCGAAGACCTTGTCCTGGAGCCAGAGGTATCTTGCCTGAACGTGCCTGTTGGCATCCCTTCCTCTCGCTTATGGCTTTTGCAGCCGAGCTGTCAACCATCAGCCGCACTTTGCGAGCTTCAAAGCCCCAAAAGGCCATGACTCCTCGCACGAACTCTGCGTGGGTCGCGGTGCGGCACGTCCCATAAAACTCGCTTTCGCAGCTGGAGAGGGCTTCACCAAAATGGTGTGCTCTCCAGCCTTGATCACCGCTCCGGTGGTCGACCTCCGACTCCTGAGATCTCCAGCCCAGTCTGAGTCAGAGAGTGCCACCACATTGAACTTCTTGATGGGCTGCTCCTTGAAGATCCTCTTGAGGTAGGGCTCCGTCACCAAGTACCTGACCGCCTTCTTCAGCCTCTGCCAGTCACCCATCTTTGGACCCTTCATTGCCGATGCCAGGGTCCTCACCACGTGACAGAGGTCCGGGCGGTCCACGCTCATGTAGGCCATGCGCATCACCATGGACCGATACAGGCTCACCTGCCTGCTCTCAAGCATTGATTGCCTGTCAGGTCAGCCTGGGTCATCTTGTCCTCCGGAATGTCACATCCCTTCGTGGTTTCATTGAAGCCGAACTCTCGCAGCAAAATCTCTGCGTGGCGGGTATCCGCTTCAATCTCCAGGTCCGCTCCATCTGGGATGTACTTGATGAGGCGATTCAGGAAGGTCATTGACCGCTTGTCGCCTGGCCCATCACCAACGAGGTTCTCCCACTTCGCTGTGTACTTCTTGTTGAGAATGCCATCCAACCAGCGAAGTTGAGCATATTCCCCCACCACCAGGAAGTCGTCGCCGTGGACAAGGCCAAGTAGTCCACGCTCTTCAAACCTGAAGATGGCCGGGCATAGTGAACAAAATGTTCCTCCATTCTGCTTCAGCCACCCTTGATAATCTTCCTCAAAGATTTTACTCGCATCCTGGGTCCCGTACATGCTCCGCATGAGCTTTGCGACCATGGGTTCTTGGTCAGTTGGCTGCACTCGGTCTTGCTCCGGCAATTCCATGAAAATGTCTCGCGCAGCACGCCCCATAAAATGGGCACGGGAGATGTCCCAGTTCGCGAGCTTGAGCTCGCCCTTCTTTGGGTCCTTGGACATGAAGGCGCTCAGCAGGGTGTACACGGCCTCGATCGGCGGAGTAGCGGAGAAGGTGTCGGCACCACCCAGCTGCATCTCTGCTGGCTTGGCCTTCTTGATCTCCTTCGCCACCATCCTGCTGCGCACGAAAGGGTTCTCATTGTCCCCTTTGTTGACGTCCATCCACTTCCACTGCAGGAGCTTCCCAGTGGCTTCTCTCCGAGGAACTCGGATGTACACCTCCTCTTTCTTCAACCACTGCAACTCGAGCTCCCGGGCCTTCTTATGGATCGAGCAGTGCGCCTGACACATCGTCCATGTACTGCTCCTCCTCCCATGCTCTGAGCTCCATGTCCATCTCATTGCCATTATCCGGGGAAGGTCCCGTGAGCATCTCCTCCACTGCGCTCAAAGCATTGGTGCTCACCAGCTCCTTCTTCAGTCCTCGAAGGATGGCCTCCACTAGTGGTACTGGGTACACCTGGGCGGCTTTGGCACGGTCTCGCCCAATGAGGTGTACATGCCTGTGGACCTCTTGCCCCTTGAGCTTGTTGATGCACACACCTTGCAACTCCTCTGCAATGCACTTGGAGTTGGTCATCCACAATGTCTCCTTGCGGACATAGCACTGCTCTCCATCATCATTGCTCATCTTCATGCCAAACTTGCACATAGGGCTCTGCACCAGGTGGATGTCCTTTCTCTCAAGCATCTCTTGCACCTCAGGCTCTTTCCATGACGTCGACTCCTTGGGGTGCTCGTGCAAGAAGAACCCACCTTGCTCCAACTGTAGCTTGCAGCATGCCATTGCCTTCTTGAGCCGTGCTTTGCCAATCTCCTTCTCCTCCTCAACGATCTTCTTGTCCCGCTTGAAGTCCGACAGCCTCCTCAGCGGGCTGAACGTCGTGCAAGGTGGTGAACTCGTCACCAAGTATGGTTGCTCGTAGGCGATCATGTCCAAGGCCAACTGGAAGTCTGCCTCATGGTCCAAATCCCATTTCTCTGACCCATCAGGCTTGAGCTCCTCCAGGTCAATCGCTGCTCCCAGCCGAAGTCCAAACCTTTCCACCTCTTTGTTGACTCGGCTTGGGGAAAACACTTCAATGACGTCCATTGCAGCCAGGTCTGCCAGGGTTTGAGCCGCCTCCAAACTCCCCATGAGCTCGGTCATCCATTCAATTGCTTCGATGGTCGCCGGTGAAGCACCAGCTGCCGCCGCCCTCTCATCCTCCTCGCTCCGGAAGAGGTCCTCAATGTCTTCCACTGCTCCTTCGCCTGGCTTCCTCTTGGCTGATGTCGATGTCGGCGAGGTCGATGTAGCCCCACCAGTCAAGTCCACCGCAATTGCAGGAACTCCGTCTCGGCTCCCGCTCGATCATCCTCCTGTCTCGTCCATGGGCGTTGAGCCCTCTGTCCTCCCTTCTCGCAAGGCCTCCTCTGCCTTGTCCTCCTCTCTCAGCCTCTTGGCCTCCTCAACCTTCGTCTGCTGCTCCTCAACCAATCGCTTCTTGATGTGCGATCGGCAAGTCTCATTGCGCGCCGCCACCTGCTGGAATCCTGCTCCTTTCAGGATCGACAAGCACCCGGGGCATTCTGCTGTTCGCCCAAACTTCACTAGGTGCTCTCGCCTCACTGGCCATGCCCTCGTCGTCGTCGGTGTCTGCGGACTTGCACTCGGTCCTCCAACCTCAGCCTCTGTTGCAGCCTCCGGGGCCTCAAGACACCCTCCGAAGTCATGCCCAGCACACCATCAGCTCCCACCTTGTAGCGGTTCGATTGCTCAGCCACATAGCGTGGGATCCACAAGGTCAACGGATGGCCTTCAGGCAGGCCCCCATCGAACTTCTTCTCCAGCATCAAGTGGATGGCCTTGATCCTCCACTTGATCTCACGAACAGCTGCTTCTGCCTCTCCGTTCGCTCTTGAATCTCCTGCAGGGCTCTCCTCACAGATGGTCTTGACCAGGTTCTTGGCGTCCCTGCCAGCTGCCTTCTTCATCCTGACCAGCGAGTGCTCCCCGTCGCTCTTCAGCACGATCTCCTTGTAGCCCAACAGCTCCAGGAACCTCGTGAGCAACTTTTGTCCTGTCAAATCCACTACGCCCTTCTGATTGAGCGCAGTGGCCATCGTCATACCGGTCTTCCGGTCCTGGGCCAATGTGGCCGTGCTCCTTCCTCTTCGTTGAGGTAGAAGTAGTCCATCACCACCGTGCTGGTCGTCTCTTCCTCTCGGGGCACCCTCCTATGCTGCTGAACTCGACCTGCAGCCTGAATGCACTCTGGACGCCAGCTCCTGTAGACCGCATGCCCTGAAGCCTCATGCTCTTTCTTCTCCAAGTCGGATGGCGTATCTGGCGTCCATCCGGGTCGAGCTGGTCGGGCCTCATGGATCTCCAATTCCTCAGGGCCCTGCTCTGCCTCTCCCCCCTGATCACCTGGACCTCCCTCATCCTCTAGCCAGGTCGGGGTGATCTTGTCATCGAATTCCTTGGCCTCACACTTCCACCAACCGTCCATGTGCTGTTCATCACGGCCTGAGGTCCGCCTTCAGGGGTACGTGGTGTCGGAACCCCATCTGGCGTGCGAGGTGCTTCAACACCCTGCTCCAGCCGCTCCTCGTAGAGGTAGAAGTTGTAGACCCCATTCTCCTCATAGACAGGGATGATGCCCATCTTATCGAACTCATCCACCGCTTTGTGGTATGCCGTGATCATCGCTTTGCTCACCGGGTGGTTCAGCGGGATGATCTCTCCTCCTCCAGGCCCAATCCACGACGTGTGACCTTTCTCGTGGAGCTTCGCTGCGCTCACCAGGATCTTGTGGACGTCGGCCACCGCCATTGAGCTTCCGCATCAAACCACGGGTGTCCTTGCCATGGACGGTTGCCTTCCCATAGGCCTTGACCACCTCCCCAGATGCTGTCTTCAATCTCATGTCATTGGGCTCGCCTGCTTCGAACATGTCCTTGGGGAAGACGGTCACCGATGTTCCGGTATCCAGGTTGCACTTCAACCAGGGCTTCTCCACTGAGTCTGAGGACTCAACGGAGGATGCAGATCTGTCTGCTGCTGAGCTCTCCGTCCTTCGGCGTGAGGATCTCGTCCGGGTCGATGCACGATGACTCTCACTGCGCAGGGTGGATGCTCGTTGGCTCTCGCTGCGCACTGAGCTTCTCTCTCTTGCCTCCTCCAAGGTGCACACCTCCAATGCACACAGCTCCAATCCATTTGCATCACCAGGTCGAGGCTCAGGTTCTGGAAGATCAAGGGCGTTAGCGGAGTTCTTGTTGTTGTTGCCCTTGCCACCTCCTCCTTTCTGGCCTTTCCCTTTTCCTTGGGCCGACCAGCATTCGGCCTTCTTGTGTCCTGGCTTCCCGCAATGATTGCAGGTGCCAGCGAACTTCACTTCCTTCTTCGGACTTGATGTCGGGCTCCTGGATGTGGCTCCTTTCCCTGCTCCCGTGGGCTTACTCCAGCAGTCACGCTTACGATGACCGTATTTGCCACAGTTGTCGCAGTTGCCATCGAACTTGATCTTATTGGCGTTGCCTTTGCCATCACCCTTGCCCCCTTTCTTCACGATGGAGACAATGTTGCCCGACACGACCTTCACGAGGCTGTCCACGTCCATTGGGACTGGCCCTGAGCTGCCCCCTGAGGGCTTGGAGAAGTTGGAGCTCACGATCATCCTTGACCCCGTCTTCGCCTCCATAAAGTTGACCACCTCTTTCTCCATTTCCTCAAAGGTCTTGAAGCGGGCATAGTTCAGCATCAGGTGAGTCTCAAGCTCCTTCGGGACCAGCTTCTCGAGGGCGTTCATGGCGAGAGACTCGGGCAATGCTTCTCTTGACCCAAACTGGTCCTTCTTCCGGTCATACCTTGACCTGAGAGCCTTCCACCGCTCCAAAGCCCCCTGAAGCGTTTCATAGCTAGCCCGCTCAGGATTTGTCAGGGCTTGGAGCATCACCCTCTTCCTTGATCCAGTGGCCGGATCGAACCGGCGGTGCAAGCTTCTCCAAGCGTCCAAGCCAGCTCCGGTGGCGCAGTTCTCAACCAGGTCGAAGGGTCCTCCTTCTGTCGTCGCCCTCAACACGGTGTAGAGCTGCTCGTTGAACTCATGCACCTCATCCCACTGTTCCAGGATGTCGGCGCTTCCTCCAAAGCTTGCATCTATCTCAGCTGGGGTGATCTCTGCATCCATTCCAGCTGCCCATTCCAGCACTTCCCGACTCTTGCCACCGAAGACGCCGCTCACGTAGTCCTCGAGCTTGATGGCCCACAACCTGAACTTCTCATCCGCATTGTCCCCGAGGATCTGAGGTTTTCCCAACCCTCTCGGGTCGATCAAGCCCTTCGGTTTCGAGAGCTTGCCAAGAGCTTCAGGCAAGCCCCGAAGAGCGCTCACCATCTCCCGGACCTCAGGTGAGATCCCTCCACCATGATGTGGCGAGAGTGAGGCTTGTGCTTCAAACGTAGCAAGTCGTTCTCGAAGGACTTGATTGTCAGCCCGAGTGTCCAGGACTTGTTGTTGGAGTTGTTGAAGCGCACTGGCCAGCTCCTCCATCGATGCCATCGCTCACCAGCGCTCCAACGACCGCGTAGGGCACGTCAGCCCAAACCAGCAGCAGGATGATCCCTGCCACCACAGCCGGCTTCAGCCAGCTCTGAGATCTTCGCTCCCGGTCGCCAAGGAGCGTCACAGGCTTCTGCGAAGCCTCACGGCCTTTTTCCATTGCCCCAGACTTACCGAAGGTCGCTACCATCCAAACATGGCTTATGCAGCCCTCGGCCCACTTTTGCGCCCAGATGGCTATCAGTATGTCAGGGTTCATCTAAAGTGTACAAAGTTTGCACTAGTAGCCAAGACGCTACTGGTAACAAGGGCATCGCTACTAGTAACAAGGGCAATACTACTAGTACCAAGAAGCTACTAGTAGCTCCTGGCAATACTACTAGTAGCAAGGACG